TAGGCGTATCAAAAAATGATGATATTTTTATCTTTAAATTAATTAATGGCGATATTAATTCTTATAAACTCCTTAGTAAAATTAATTTACTACTCCCTGTTCATCTTCGTCATCCTCAGTTTTTTTCCTGAATTTCCGTTTAAACAATTATGCCTTCCATTCACCCATAGATCGGATTCTATTTTTATTTCATCCCACATAGATTTCTTTGTCAATTCGTTGCATTGGTTTGAGAAGGTTCTAACTAACAAATTTGGGCAAATTGAGTTTACTGAGTGTGAAGGGTCCCACCACGCGATTCAATACTACTCAGGAATGACCATCGATAGTCGATATTATCGATATTTTACTCTATTACACTCTATATGAAACAGATAAGATGAATATATATATATATATATATATATATATGTTTAACGATCAGATTCATATACAATCCCTAGAGCTTTCCAAAAACGATAGTTTTAGATTGTATTTTTAGATTAAAACTTAAAATATCGAAGAGACGATATCGATAGTAGATAGAAGAATAGAATAGAATAAAAAATTAAACGTTATTCTGGGACTAGGTCCCTTATGAATAACAATTATGAACAAAAAATAAAAACCACATCTGGCCAAAAATTACATTAATGAAAATTAAAGAATATATACGATATCTTACAATATATTTATACAATATCTTACAATATATTTATATATTTTAGAATATATAAATAAAAAAATAACGCTATTTTGAAAAAAAACAAAACAAACATTATTCAAATAAAAAGAACAATAGAAATCAGGTAAAATAAAAAACAACATATTATAAGCACTTTGGGTTGATTTTTAAAATTAAAACTCAAAACAATTTCAACAATCATTTACCTCGGGCAAAATTTGATTCATAATATTTATTTCTTTGTACAACGTCATTTTGGGATGGCGGAATGGCAAGGCGGATAACATATGGCAAGGAATTCCAGAAGGCAGTGGATCAGGCAATAAAGGGATATTCAAATGTCTTATTTCTATGGGAAGGGATATAAAGGTCGGAAACACGGGATCTTGTTTTCTGGGAGTGAACCACAGGTTTGAACTGTAGGAGACTGTAGATGTAGGAAGGATGTCGGGTGTTGATCGTTTGGAATAGGAAAGATCCAAGGAAATATTGTCTATAAGGGAAGGTGTAACTCGTCTTAAAGGTGGGACACATGAGACCGCCTCGATATTAGAGTAAATACTATCGATGGTTATATATCGAATATCGGAAGAGAAATATAAAACAATGAAGAGCCTAGATCGATAGATCGAATCATAAAGGATACTGCAGAACTGCAAGGATAAAAAAAGGAGAAGGATATTTAAATGGACAACTTTTTTGGCGGCAAAGGAGCAAAGTCTGCAATGTTAGTAGGAAAAAATACATATATATTTTTCATTATTATCAAATATCAATCATAATAATAAAAAAAAAGAAAAGAAAACTTTCTAAAGAAGCTTGAACGTGTTAAATGAGCAGACGTGTATGAAGAAAGACTTTTATTTTGTATTCCATCGCCGCTAGTGAACTTCCCTCTTCTGCATTGTATCAGGCGCACGTAGCGAAGGAAAACAAAGCCAATAAATCAGCTGTTTCCGCCTATTCCAGCCAACTTAGCTATCCCCTTTTATCGAGAACAACAGATATCTGTTTGCTAATGTCCAGAATACTAAATTATAATATTTGGAACCATAGGCAATGACTTTTCATTTTGATTGGTGAGGGGAGCGAAGGATAAAAAAATAATTATATATATGACAATAGTTACTATAACCCTATAGCCAGGACCCAGAAATCGATATCACCGCAGACGAAGGTTTCATTGTAGATTACGAAAGTGTTTGTTATTCTGAGTAAAATGAAATTTGTCTGCAGTTCCAGAACCGCTGCTATCAAAAATGGTGGATGATTTTAAAAATATTAGGAATAGTATACCTTTCATGTATACACCTCTATTTCCAGATAATTTTCTTAAAACTTTTCTATCATAAAATTGAAAAAAAAAAAATATTTAATAATTATAACAATAAAATATATTTGATAGAGAATATTTTTTAGACATTTTTATATAATTGGTTAGACTGTTGAAACATTTTTTTAAAATTTTAATGTGAACAAAAAAAGAAATTAAAATTTTTTTTTCAGTTTTTAGCTAGAAAAGTTACATAAATGTAGCTATGTTATGAAGGCTGTCCCCCTTCCTCTCATGTTTAATGGATAAGAATTTTAATAAATTCAATTGTATTGTTCAGATATTTTCAAGTAAATCCATATGCACATAAAAAAATTCTACAACTTCCATAATAAATATATATATTTATTTTTAAATATCCAATGCTTCATTTGCTCGTTAGGGCCCAAAAATCGACCTCATCACAGGCGAAGGTTTGATTGTAAGTTACGAGGTTTGTTATTCTGAGTAAAATAAAATTTGTCTGCCGTTCCAGAACCGCTGCTATCAAAAATGGCGGCTGATTTTAAGAATATTAGGCCAGAAAATCCATTGCGAAAAATGTGAGAAGCTTTTATTTTTTTCAACTTGTATGCATAGGTTTAGATATGTAAAAAACAAAATACCTAACGCTGGCAACCAAGGGAAAAAATTTTACGACCAAAAAAGTAAGATTTTTCGACTTTTTTTTTGTTTTTTCAGCTATAACTCCAAAAAGATGCATCCAAGCGAAAAAAATATTCTTTAATTAATTAAAGAACGTTAAATTTTTCGTCGAAATAGTACATATAATTTGGTTAAGTGTTAAGGTATAAAAACATGATTTTTTGGCTGTAAAAAGTTTTTCACATGTCTAAGCCCATATATTCAAGTTAAAAAAATAAAAACTTTTCTCCCATTTTTCGCAATGGATTTCCCGTTTCGATCCTCAAATTCCTGGCCTATATTCTTTAAATAAGCCGCCATTTTATAAAGCAGCGGCTCTGGAACGGCAGACAAGGTTCTTTTTATTCAGAATAACCTACACTTTCGTAACTTACAATCAAACCTTCGCCTGTGATGAGGTCGATTTTTGGGCCCTAACGAGCAAATGAAGCATTGGATATTTAAAAATAAATATATATATTTATTTGGGAAGTTGTAGAATTTTTTTATGTGCATATGGATTTACTTGAAAATATCTGAACAATACAATTGGATTTATTAAAATTCGTATCCATTAAACATGAGAGGAAGGGGGACAGCCTTCATAACATAGCTACGTTTATGTAACTTTTCTAGCTAAAAACTAAAAAAAAATTTTTAATTTCTTTTTTTGTTCACATTAAAATAAAAAAAAATGTTTTAACAGTCTAACTAATTATATAAAAATGTCTAAAAAATATTCTCATTAAAATATATTTTATTGTTATACTTATATATATATATATATATATATATATATATATATATATAAATATTTTTTTTTTCAATTTTATGGTAGAAAAGTTTTAAGAAAATTATTTGGAAATTGAGGTGTATACATAAAGGTGAATAAATCATAAAATCCTAGAAAATGTTTTCAGTTTATCTAATACATTCTTCTATTTTATCTCTGAATATAAATGAAAATTTAAATAATAGGAATATTTAGTTCAAGATAAAATAGTTGTGCACCTACTTATAGACCTTAGATTAGCCCTTTAATCAAATTTTATTTATCGATTTTAGTTTAAATATTTTATTCATTCATTTATCTTATTTGTCATAAATTTTAATTTTTTTTACTAAAAATTATTGGGGGAGGGTGAAAAAATATTCTCACCCCCTCAACATTTGTAATGGGGGGGAAGGGGCGATTACCCCATCTTGTCTCCCTCCCCTGTATTCTGCGCCTATGTTAGGAATGATGAACTATTCCGTAAACTGTACTAACGCTATAATTATTGGGATTTCCTGAGAATATCTAAGTGAATCAATCCATAAATTATCCATGACCTTCACCGCTTCACTGGATAAATACACATTAAATAGAATTACACAATAACAGGAACTAAACACTACTCAATAACAATTTCTGTAATTCGCCAAGAAATATTTATTCTTGATATGTAATATACAAAATAATAATAAAGACTATTAGTCTTAAAAAAATTACAGTAACAAAATTATTACATACATGATCAATTGATCCTTACGATAATTCGGCTAAGTGAAGCGGACTTTCGATTTTGATTGGGAGAGGTGAGGGACCAAAAAAACAAATTAAAGTTTTTATTATGTGTAAAATTTCAACATAATTATTGTGAAACGAAAGAATATATTAATCAATATTTAAAATTAATTTATTTATATGTTTGTATAACTGTAATGATTTTCATTGATTTTTTTTTACTCCCATATTACGAGAATTTTCGTAAATACAATATTTGTAGATTACGATGAAATGAAGCTATTTACGAAATTTCAGGTGAATGTTAATAGTTTGAAAAAAAAAAAGGTTTGTAACATGGACTAACACATATATATATATATATTATATATATATATATATATATATATATATATATATATATATTATATATAAGATTTTTATATATATTATTATTATCACTGATAATGTCTATACATGATACTCGCGAGAATTATTTCAGTGGAAGGGCTTATCGACTCTGTAGTACATGGTGATTATACATTTGTGTATATTTAATTTCTGAGCGCACACTAACCTCTCAATAAATGAGTTTTTAATACTGTGGAAATATCCTTACGAGCAGATGAAATACATTTTTTAAAATGACAAGAGATCATAACGCTTGAAATATACTTAAAACTTTAAATATACTTTAACTATATAGATATAGGTAATTGCATTTTAATTATAATTATAATTATGATATGTTATTACATGCTGAGATCGTGCCTTTATCTCTTCTACAAGCGCTGAGAAGCTCCATGTTTTACTTCGATTAGAGAGAAGATTGTAGAAATTAGTTGGCTGTGTATCTTGGCAACTAAGGTCATCTACAGACCGCAAAGTTTGCCTCAGCTAGCTCTGTTTGTGTAGAGGAGGTTGCGGAGTTGGAGGGGGGAACCGGTTAGGACGGAGGAGGAAGGAGATTTGAATATATCAGAGCGAGCAGGAGTCATGACTCCATCATCCTCGGGGGTTCGAGACCCGGCGGAGTCCTTGGATGGAAGCCGCCTCTCCGGAATAGCAATGGGATGCAAGAGTGGTCCTGAAGGCTGGAGAAGGGCATTGTCACAGCACTCTGTCTATAAGTCAAATTATAGTTTAAAAAATCTGGTGCGCGCAACACACAACTTTCACTTACCTCTCTACTTTGAATAAACATTATTTCTGGCAATGTTGGGCTATTATAAAATTTGTTTAAGTCAGATAACAAGTCATTAAGACCATTATAATTACAAAATGTGTATTTAATATATCGACGACAGGCAATAAAAATCTATGCACTCCATCTGCTTTTATAAACCACAGAATGACTAAAACCAATTTCAACATTTTTGAGTGATGTCATTTTAGTGATATTTTTAGTTGAAAAAGTTATCTATGCAGACAGTGAGTAAGTTGATTCTGGAGGTGGTGATGACAAAAAATTTAATTTGCAAACAGAATCAACATTCTTTTTTTTTATTTGCATTTTAACTCTGTAATGTCATATTCTATTGCCAAATTAAATAGAACATTTGAAAGGGAATTACCTTGTTTTAAGCACGAAGCAATCTCAAATTTTCAGGATAAATAATAACGATATGATATGAACAAATCAAATTGAGAATTGTTTCAAAACACTCAGAGATTCTCATCTAATAATTTGAAAGAAAATCGTTACGTACCTTTTAGTGAACAATATATAGATATTGTAAGGCTTGGCCATAGTGGGGTAAAAATTTAATAAACCTTGAGAATATTTCTTTGATTATAAATACTAGCTAAACGTAATTAGTATAAACATTTTTGGTTTACAAAGAAAGAAAAATTAGTTTTCCATACATTTTTTTTAAGCTTATTTATTGAAAAATATTACAATCTGTCTCAAGGACATTCCATAAATTTTCTGTAAAGATTCCATTCAAATTCTATTGTAACGTGTACTTTCGATTTATTTATCCCAGATCACAGAAAAGAATAATAAATTAAAGCTCAGTAATAATTTATATCATTTATTTTTGCTGAAAACACAGAATACATAATATCAAATCAGCTATTATTTTACTTTAATAGAGGTGAATTTTAACTTATCCTTTAAAAACCTTTTAAATTAAATTAATACTAAATTATTGTGGACTTAGAGCTTATTAAACAAGAAAGTTTTTCTAAAAGTGGATTAACTGTAATCTAGTTAGGGGATAATAAAAAATCAGGAATAATCCATGATTTAATGAAAAATAGAACTTCGCGTAGTTAAGACAATTAAAAGTCCTCTTTAAACAAAGATGATCCCAGCTTACATTTAAAGGAAATTTTGCTAAGTTTACTCTGAGTAATTAATTAATTAATTAATTAAATAAAATATTTGTTTAGGTATTCTTCGTAATCTAAAAAAATTAACATTTAAAAAAGCTTTAATTTCCTACCTATCTGCAGAAAATCAAACCATGGTTTATATAAACTTTATTGTAGCTCTTGAAATCTACAATGCAGATATATATGCACATAATAATATTATATATAAATAGTAATAATAATAATAATAATGACGTATATATTATCACGGATCACATATTTCGTCACAATAGACCTGATATTTTCATATTAAATTTTAGAACTAAGAAATCCAAGCTTATTGATGTCGCGATCTCAAATGACAATAATATAAATTTTTTGTGAGAAAATTAGAGAATATCAGGAATTTGTGATTTAGATTACATTATTTGGAAAACGCAGTGGTAATACCTATTATGATATCAACAAATGGATAGATTGGGAATGTTACATATGGCTGATGGATTGTTAGCGTGGTGGGGAAAATGGAGGATGCGGTGAGTGTGCACCTATGCGTGCTAGGGGTTTGCTCAGAGGATTTTGGATCAATAGCCGGCACATTAGTATCACAATTCTAAAGTGAAGTTGTGATGTTGGAGTAGTGTAGGGTCGTCTGTATGTACATATATGGGTGAATTTTTTTTGTCATGGTGGCCAGGTGTTTTAAAAGAATAAAATTTTTTTATGTGGGTGAGGGTGCGGACGTTAGGTGGCATACCAAACATAGTGTGGCTGTTCAGGGCTGAATATTGGTATGTTTTCATATTCAGATCAGTGAGTGTATGTTTTTAGATTACTACGACGTGTTAGATGTGGTGGGTTATTGGATGTTTAGGTAGATTGCTGTTTTGGTTATTGGTGATGGTTTCTATGGTAGGTTGTCTTAGCTATGTATTGACGATACATGCCAATTTGGTTTTATGTGAAAATTTATGTATGTTATGGTGTATTTGGGATTCTGTATGGTAACTTGTGTTACGTATGCCGCGCTGAGTTCTTTCGATTATTCGTTATTGGTGGATCGTAGTGATAGATTTCAGTGTGCGTTGTGCTTTAAAGTCACTTTCGGGTTTTATGAGGGAGTTCTATTTTTGTGTTATCGGTGTTAATTTTGTATTCTCTGATTTTATGTTAATAGATTGTCTCAGCCCTGAAGATTGACCACATGTTTGGGGTGGATGAGACGTTAGGTCATCTAATAAAAAAATTATTTTTTTGAAAGACTGCGCCCTGAATATTTATCATCCAAAATTCTAAAATGCTTGAGAAAAAAAATGTATATCTGCAGGTAATTGGATTTCTCCACCACAGCTTCAAACCCCCCAAAGCTGAGAAAAATAAAGAAAAAAAAACTAAGATCTGTGCTTTAGACCGTTATAAGTTAAAACATCAAAAAAGCAAGATTGATAATATGAAATATATATTATAAATAATAGCCCGTTACAGAGAGCATGCAATGCTGAACAATTCCCTGACTGACAGTATGCAGGTCCGATTTTTAGTTTCTGAGATATCTTAATCCATATCTTTCATAAAATTCGTTTTCATTAAGTTTAGGACACTATTTTTTTCTTTTTGGACTTTCTAATACGACATCGCGTTAAAATACAACTTTCAATTATAGCCCATTATAGAGAGGATAGAAATCCTCTCTTACTTATAGTACGCAGTTCCGATTCTCAGTTTCTGAGATCTTTTAATCCATAACTTCAATAAAACTCGTTATCATTTGGTTTTCGACAATCTTTTTTCCTCTCAATCAAGGTGTAGCGTTAAGATACAATTACGAATAATAGCTTATTACAAAGAGGATGAAATGATAAAACAATTCGCTCGCTGACAATATTCAGGTCCGATTTTAAGTTTTTGAGATATTTCAATCCATATGGAAAAACTCTTTTATTAGTCGACTCCAGCCGACTTTATCCGAGCGTTACACATCGGAGATCTGACGGCTCAATCTGATTCACTCTTCACAAAAAAATAATAACAATGATGAGTCCTGACTTTACGAGTGGGGTGAAGGCTTGGCTCAGAGATAACAGATAACAGCATGCGTGTATTTACGTAGTTATTTTGATTAGTTTAGTTTATATACATTTACTTTTAATATTATTGTTTTGCTGTTTATTAATTTTTATTTATTGTTGATAGAGTGTGAATGTGTTCTCAGAACACTATTAGAAATGTCCTTAATTGTGACAAATTGTAATATATATCAATAAATATGTTTAAAAAAAAACTATATTCGCTTGAATAACGCAGAACAAGGACTATTGAGTAGATCACTGGAGATCCGCGGTATACCGGAGCGACCGGGCGAAACGCCCGCTGCTTTGGTGACCAGTATAGGAGCAAGCTTGGGGATTAGGCTTAGTGTGGAGGACCTTGACAACGTACATCGCCGCAGAAGCCGAAAAGATGACTCGCGACCACCGCCTGTTATCGCACGTTTTGTCAGGCAATCAATTAGAGATGACTTAATTACGAAAAGGAAAGTGAAGAGGGATTTCTCCACGCGGGATATCGGTTGGCAGGAAAATGACTGCCACCGAATTTATCTGGGTGAAGAGATGACTCGCACAAACAGACACCTCTATTGGTTAGCCCGGCAGAAGAGAGCGGCGGGAAAAATCAAATATACGTGGTTTGCTTCCGGAAAGGTGCGGTGTCGAAAAGAGGACGGACATAGAGTCATCCTGATAGAACAGGCCTCGGATCTAGATGTATTTGACTGACTACCTAGAAGCCGTCAACCCCTTAGCCTCATTAAAATAGTCTTACTTCTTTTCTTAGTGCTATCTCGACACCGTCACTCACCAATCTATTTATTTTTAAGTACATTCTCTTTATTTATTTTTAATGTTAATATTACTTTTTCTTTATTTAGTTTCATGTACGATAATCGCTTTTCTGTACTTTCTACTCGTTTTGTCTTCTCGCTACCAAACACTGACTGTTTCTCTCCAAATCCACTGTATGTCTAGTTCCCTAATCACATGTCAAGTTAACTCTCAATCACTTTCTGCCCATTATGACGAATTCCTGCAATACTTTACCCAAAACTTTTATCATATCATAGCAATATCCGAAACCTGGCTTAAACCTTATATTCCATCATCTTCAGTATCCTTGCCGAATTACATCCTGCTCCGTCATGACCGGGTAAACCGGACTGGCGGTGGAGTAGCCATGTTTGTCCACAATAGCCTAAAGACCCGAATCCTCGATTGCTCCCCATCTTCCGATCATCCTCATGTAGAATATCTCTTAGTAGAAATTCTCAGTAATATTTCTCCTATCCTTTACGCCGTGGTATATCGCCCTCCTCTCGTGCCATTTGACCCGTCCTTCGAATCAACTCTATTCAACTTCGTTCCCCTCTATCCCAGAATAATTATCTCCGGTGACCTCAATACCAATTTCCTCTCAAAATCCAATGACAAATCCTATTTAGAAAATCTGTTTTTCTCACTTCACCTATTCATCGTTCCTTTTTCCTCCACCCACCACACCAGCAGATCTGACACTTGGCTAGACTTCTACATCATCGACTCAGCACAAAACCTCCTCTCCGCCTCTCAAGTGCCAGTATCCTTTCTTTCATCTCATGATCTGATACAAATAACGTATAATATCCGCACTCCTCCAATCCATCCTCGAACTATCACTTTCCGCCAACTGGATACCCTTACTCGAGAAAAAATATTACCTGATCTAGTAACATTGGATTTAAATGGAATATATCATTGCTCCTCTGTCGACACCATGGTTGATATTCTCACCACCAATCTTCTCAATATACTCAATACCCACGCTCCTCTCAAAACCTCCACTTTCCGTCATCGTCCTGCTCCTTGGATGTGTCAGGAAATTAAGGATCTGCAGAAGAGACGCGACGCTGCACGCAGACGCTTCAGACGGACTAGGCTTGCAGATGATTATCAAATATTCAGAGTGCTTCGCAACACGACACAGACAAGGATCCGACAAGCGAAAGCGAACTACTTTCACGAAGCCCTTTCCTCAGCTCCTGATATCAAATCAAAATGGCTTCTACTTCGTAAGCTTTCCCTCTGTGAACCTTCTAGATCCCCTTCCTCAGTTTTCCCAATATCACCTGATGACCTAAACTCCCACTTTATATCGGTTTCCACCTCTTCGTTACCATCCCCTTCCGGCTTTTCTCCAGAGGTACCTTTTAACGACAATAATTTTTATTTTTCCGACATTTCTCCCACAGACCTTATTACCGTTATAATGAAATCCCGTTCCAATTCCGTAGGCCCAGATGGCATTCCTATCAAACTAATAAAATTATGTCTCCCTGAAATCCTCCCAGCACTCCTTTTCATCTACAATTTCTCCCTGCAGAATTCAATATTCCCGACCTCTTGGAAAAAAGCCATTGTCCTTCCTTTAAACAAAAAGCCTAATCCATCCTCTCCCGAAGATTTCCGCCCAATATCAATCCTTTCCAATCTTTCTAAACCCCTAGAAAAGTTGGTGCAATCCCAAGTTTCCAACTTCCTTGAACAATCCAACCAACTCGATCCTCTCCAATCTGGCTTCCGTCCTGGCTACTCTACACAATCTGCTCTGATTAAAATTACTAGTGATATCCAGACTGCAATAGATGACAAAAAACTAACCATACTTATACTTCTTGATTTCTCTAAAGCTTTCGATTCCATTATCCATTCCATCCTTTTCAACAAACTAAAATCATTATCCTTCTCCAAGAGTTCCATCTCTTGGTTCCAGTCTTTCCTCTCACAACGAACCCAAGCAGTTTCCATACCTAATCAACCTCTATCTGCCTACCTTCCTTTATCCTCAGGAGTTGCACAGGGTTCAAGCATGTCTCCTCTTCTTTTCAGTTCTTATATTAATGACCTAAATGATACAATTATCCATTGTTCCCACCACCTTTATGCCGACGATTCTCAAATCTATTTATCCTTTTCTCCCGCTGAGTTATTGGTGGCATTTGCCAAAATTCAAGAAGATTTAGATCGAATTAATGCCTGGGCCAACTTAAATGGATTAAGGCTAAATGCTGCCAAAACTCAGGCCATTCTCATTGGTTCCAAGCCCCTTCTTAGATCCCACACCAACTTTCCCTCACTCTATCTAAACAACCACCCCATCACCTTCTATCCCTTTGTTAAAAATTTAGGCTTTCTCATAGATCAAACCCTTTCCTGGAATCACCATATCTCTCATATATCCCGCCGTGCAATTTCTACCCTCAAACTATTCCATCACTTCCGCCATCTTCTACCCCAAAATACCCGTAGACTCCTAGTTTCCTCTCTCATCTTTCCCCACTTTGACTACAGCTGTGTGGTGTACGATGGCCTCTCGGTGGAACTGCGTGATAGCCTCAAAAGACTTATGAATTGCTTCGTAAGATTTGTAATCGGAACCCCGAGACGCTCCCGTGTCTCCCACCACTACACTGAGTTAGGGTGGCTCTTCCCCTCCTTAAGAAGACAATATTTCCTTGGCACTTTCCTTTATCAAATCATTACCGATCATCGTCCTTCTTATGCCTACAACCTTCTCCAATTTAAGTCCTCAATCCATTCACTCACTACAAGATCCCGACCCTCCGACCTATACATCCCTTCTCATAGATCTGCCTCATTCCAAAATTCCTTTATAGCCCGCTCTGTCAACTTTTGGAATTCCCTCCCGATCAAAATTCGACATGCCCCTTCCC